ATAAAAGGAAGAGGAACTGACTAACATTTGCAAAGTTGAGTTTTCTGAAAAGATTTTATTTGCGTCAAATCTTTTGAAGCGTAAAACTTCTCAGACATTTTCAATAAGTCATAAAAAGTACTAAATACTGAGTTTCCTCATTTTTTAGATGTCACTGACATTTGACTAGTCCTGCTCATTTAACGATGTTTCTGATGTCACTCAGTGTCCGTCAAGAAATTTCTTTCAAAAAAATGTAAATTTCCAGAAGAAATTGCGTGGTGTTAATTTTATCTCTTGTGCAATGATGCCATTCCCAATATTTATAACAACAGTTACATCCCCAATATTTATAACAGCAATTAATCTATAGGCCTTTTTTTATACCAATAGATAGGTTTGAGTGGATTTTTGTTAAAAATTCCTGTTACAGGATGGGGGAAAAGGAGGAACGGGGGAACTCCTTCGATCATTTAACGGTAGCCTTTGAAAGAGCAGGGATTTTTTATGCCAGAGAAAAAGTGAGACTTTACAGTAATTTTTGAGTAAATTGGTGGCAAACTCAATTGTAACAATGGTAGTGAATGAATCGGCGCTTATAGAACAAAGTCATGAAAGAAGACAATTATATCGTGTCCAAAATTATGAGAGCTGAAATACGAAAAAACATGGAGATCAAGGGAATGTGACAAAACCTCGAATGTTCAATTCGTCATGGGAATCCGTATGTCGAGAAACCATACTAATCTCTTGTGGCCACATAACATTGCACAAAAAGAAAACAATTACATATTTCCCAGGAAAAACAGTCTTACATGCTTTAATGAGGAAGCTGGATAAGCCATGTAGGTATCGTAGAATAATTCTTACATGAACAACACATCAAGCTCCGATATAAGCATTATCTTGCAAAAAACCTCAAATTTTTTGATTTATAGGGTAAAAATGGTTTCAAAAAGTACGAATGGAAAACGATTGAATAAGATGTTGTTATGCGCATACTTCAGCCTTTCGCTCAATTTCAATTTTGATAATTAATTCTTGTTTCTTCAGCAGCTTTTGTGCATTTTAGCATGTCTAAGGGTACTGGATTTCTCTTTTCCACAGAAATTTTAGCTCATTTTGAGAAATAAAAAAGCTTTTGTAGATGCGCAGAAAGCTATTACTACATTCACTACAATTGTATCAAGTATCATCGCTATTTCTAGAGTAACCATCTTGCAAAAAAATAGAAAAGGTTGATTGCTAGAACGTTATTCTGCGGTAGGGTTACTGTAGCTATGACGATCTTGTTGATGTTTTTTGGAATGCTCAATGTTTGCAAATATCAATTTTCCTTATTGGTAGTACGTATGAATCTTTCGTGACCGAGTAACTCAGCTCTTAAGTTTCGCCCAGGTACCGTACTTCTGCTGAGCGTACCAATCAGCGCCTGCGAGTACGGTACTGGGCAGGAAATTAGAGTTAGATTTCTCTGTCACAAATGGATCCATGAACTGTCGCCTAAGCAACGCCTTAGCTAAGGCCCTCCAGTCAGTTTTCGCATGGAGAAACCAAGAACTGAGATTGCCTTCAGATTGCCTTCATTTTTTTCTTCTCACTGTGCGAGAAAATAACTGAAATGAAAAAGTTGTCGCGCATTACCGAAAAACTTAGCACCGAAGTGTCGCCCAAATACCGTACTTTTTCCAAGCATACCAATCAGCGCCTTCAAGTACGGTACTGGGCAAAAATTTAGAGTTGTATTCCTCCGCCGCAAACGACTCACATGAGCCACGTAGCTCGACTAAGGCCACCTAACATTTTTCTAAACACTGCCTTTAAGCTTTCTTTTCTATTCTTATTGCAGGAAAAAAAATTTACGACAAAAAGTGCTTTTCAAATCCGAAAAGGAAGTTGTTGATATCACATGATCAAATTGTCTGATTGCACATCTCAGCGCGACTAGTTCGAAGCGAACATGAAAGGTCGCGACGTACTCAACCGGATGATTTGCTCGCATGACATAAGAGTTTGATGACACTCATGTCTGATCAAGCATCATATGTTGAAAATCAAATTTTCCGACAGCATCATCACTGACATTTGAAGCGGTTGCGAGCGTGCCACTACGCTATTAAGCCATCAAGGAAAAGCATCGACGCGTCTGCCTTGGCGCGCGACCAGCAAACATTGAGCGCGTAAGCAAGACCAAAAATTCTCAGAGAACTCTTGGGACATAGATGATCTCTTGGAAAAAATGTTGGCAATAATTATCAAAAAAATTAAATTTTTAGAAAAACTTGTGCCATCATAACTCAGGTAAAGCAAACAGCAATCTTAACCAGGAAAAATTCGCAAAATGACAATTCTACCTTTAACTGCAGAACAAACCTTTTAGTCCTATCTCCTTATAAAAAAATTTTGTTTCAAAAATTTTGCGATATATTCTGAATCATTAGTTGTCAGCAATGGGTACTCGCTATCTTAGGATAATTACCTAAAAATTATAATCTCTCGACGGTGTTTTCACAATAGATACGTCGTCAAACGGAAAAAACTATCGCAATCAGTTTTCCCCCAAGAGAAGAATATTGTAATTTCGCCATCTTATTTATTTAGCAAGATAATCGTTCTTATTCAAATCAAGTGCAGGGTTTTTATTTCCAAGTAAGTTGACTACAAAATAAAAAATTGGAAATGAAAAATGAAACTGGGGAAAATAGTGCGAGCAAAATTAGAAGGACAAACATAACATGTGACGAGTTACTTTTTGGGAAAACAAATCAAAAAAGAAAAAATTCTGAAAAGACGGAATTTCTACGATAGCTGAACGATAATGAGCTTGACAGGTGACAGATGTTCTTCTTCTTGGAAGTAAAGGTTTCTTTGATCTGCTGTTTTGGCACTCAAATCTATCGGCGTACCTAAGGGACAGCAGATGAATAGATAAAGAATGAATAAAAAAAGAAATAAATTATAAAAGCTGGAAATTTTCCAAATGGTAGAATCCATTTTGCACTGATGAAACAATGAAGTGACCCGTGCAAATGCTCTTACGAAGTTGCATTCGAATGAATTTTTCATCAAATGGGCTCCACCGATGTTGGCTGTGAAATTGCTGGTGCAGGCACAATTTTCTCTTCATAGCGCTGCTCTTCGGCTTAGAAAGGCGATTCTAGAAAAAAGCTGTAGTTGTACGAAAAAATTCGAAATTATACCAGATTTCAAAGATTTTGTACAAATTTCTACTAAAAGCAGGCATAAGCTGTCCAAAAAACCTTACTACTTTCCAGGATCAAGAATCCTTGGATTATATAGCTCAAGAATAATGCCATTTTTTATTCTATTGCCTGGATAAGTGCTAGTTATAAAGCTCAAACGCTAAATCTTGCTGCTATCAGAAAAGATTTACGTTCTTTCTCATGCAATAGCTAGAAATTTGGGAGTTTTGTGGCATTGAAGTTACCCATGTAGACATATTTTCGGTGCTAGATTCGGGCAGGAAGAATTTTACCAAATGAAAGAAATGGCCGACAGATTTTATATAATCGTCATTCCACTCGCAGGATTTTTGAATGGAAATTTTTATGAGAATTTCGGCAAATGTAGTAAAGCCCAACGAAAACCATCTGGTATAGCTTCGCAGAATTTCAGAAAACATTTTTTGTGTGAAAGCATTGCCTTCCAGATTGTCATCGCACTTCGACGTATCAAATTCTGGAGGAATACAGCCAGAACTCAAACAAGCCTTTATGCTTCTCCAACAACCCGTCTCATTAGAGATTTCCGAAGAATTTCCTACACTGAGATCGAATATCATCGCTTCTTTTCCCTTCAGAGGTGAATTTGTAGTTTCAAACTACAATGAATTGCGTTCTGGTCTAAAACATCAGCTCAGATAATGGTTTATGATGTTATCTGTCTGCATCGGGCCCTAATAAATTTCTTGTTTAGAACTTATTTGGCAAAAACTAATGTATATATCGTAAGAGTTTATACAATTCTATGAGCGACCCTTTTGCATAATTATTAAGTGTATGAGCTCAAAGGATTCCCATTTGAGCTACATATTGTTTATCATACTGGAGGTAAAAACATGGATTTCATCAACTTTTCCCCAAAATAATAGAACTTTGCGGCGATCAAATGAATGAATGCTAAATTTTGTGGATTAAGGATTGATAAGCTGCTAGGACCTCTTTCCATCTTTTTCCATTCCAACGATGATTTTACAAAAATTGACAGCTGAACACGAAAACTTGGTTTTTGATAACTTACGAGACATAGTTATCACATAAAAGCGATGATCGAAAAACATATTCGAGCTGTTTTTCAAAGAATGAAAATTACCTAATAATACGAATAAATAGACAAGAAACTTCCTTTCCTGGTCAATGCTTCAGTTCCGTTTGTGGATTGAAATTTTAGAAGTAATACTAACATAGAAATTTTACAATCCTACAATTCATTTGTACAAATTTGTTCAGACCACGAAAAGGGAAGGTTTGCGAAACTCGAGGATAGTTTCAGACTGTTTGAAAAAAAAATGATCCTATGATAATTTTAGCAAATGAGGATGACTGCTTTCGACATTTTAATACTTTGCAAAATCCATTCCACGATGTTCGATCCTTTTTCATTATTAAAAAAAATCCACAGTGCACTTTTTACGAGATTTCGCAGAGTGAAAAATAGATGAAACTCAAACTGAGATGAGATGCTGTATAGAATATCCACGTTTTGGGCTAGTCCTAAAGCAGCTTGAACCGACCATTGAAGAAAACATAGCTGTGAGAAAATATTCAGTGAAAAAGATGTTTGAGAAGATTATCCCGAGTGGAATAAATAGCAACGAGCCGCATTGTCGTTTTCTTCGCCTATCAATCAGGGCCTAAGCAATTTTAGGATTCTTGCATCATTCCACTTACTTCTGTTGTATGTGAACATAATTCTTGCAAATTGCCACTCTTAAACTTCGCAGCAAAAATGAACAATTTTTACATGAATATTTTATCAAAAAACATTACATCTTTTTCAATATCCAAATAAACAAATTATGTATAATGATTAAAGCATTTTGATATACAAATTAAGCACCAATTAGTGTAACAAAACAAACCAGTAATCGTACAATCAGAAAGTCCCTAACGAAACGGAGAACACAAGAGCTACAAAAGTGACATATATTTCCGTCGTTTTGAGCGACGATACAATTCCTTTTCGACGTGATAGTTGTGAAGAAAATGGTAGAGTTTCAGATTCTGATTAGGCAAAGGTCCCGGTTTGATTTTTGTTCGGGTACTTATGCCGTAGAACAGCTGGGCAAAGTAGTTCGGTCGGTTCCACGTAGAATTCAGTTTTCGCTTTCTTGCGTGGTAGAGAAATACCTTTCTTCAGAATCTAAAGAAAAGATTTAATAATTGGGAATATTACAACAAAAAACAACGGACTTTCATGCGTACATATAAGCCGCATGCTAACTGTTTTGATAGCTAATGCGTCTATGGGTCCCGCGTGGAACCTTTCACAGCGGAGCGCGGTTTACGCAATATCCAGGATTTGTGAAAATCTCTGTTTAAGCCCTTTCAGAAACAGCAGGTCATATAATCCATTCTTGGGCGAGATATTAAACTTTGAACTATAGCCCAGCACAGTATCTCTCCGGAAGGACCAGGTCACCAGATACGGTGCTGGGCGAGCGTTTGCTGCTAAATTCGCTACAGCTTTGGTAAAGGCTTAGCTAAGAAATCCAAATCACTGTCGCATAAAAAGTTTGGATATCCAGATTGCTGGAAACCTTTAATGGACAAGAATGCAAGAATGCCGCATCGCAAGGGCGTATGCGTCGCGCCAAGCCGCGATCTCCGCGATTCTCAATGTATTTAAATAGCGCGCGCTTACATACGCGAAAAGAAAGTAGATGTGATTACCTTGATTCTTACGCCAGGCACTAGTTGTGGATGTGTTCCAGTTGCCAGAAAATCCCTTTTTTCTGCTACAATTTTTTGTCCCAACAGCTGATTGAAATGAGTTGTGAGGTGCCTTCTCAGCAAAGTTTTATGCGGAGGCATTTGTAGTATCTCAGCTAGGGTTTCGGCAGTAAAAGTCGGTTCATATACCTATAAAAAATCTTTTAATTATTTGACAAATACAGAAATCGGAATTCAATCAATAATCATACCATAAGAGCACCAGGTGTCCCAGCACAAAGGAGATTTGGTGTGAATTCAGCTAGATCTATTTTTCGTAACCATTCGCATGTTGCCGAATGAGTCCAGTGCACAACAGCATCCGGTCGAGGATAACTTGAGATAATGGACTGAAAGAAAATACTCTCAGAAGTTTTTAAGAAAATTTTCCTTGCTTACTGTACCTTCAAGCTTTGCGTAAAATTTTATTGTTTTTTTTTTCGTGAGATAGTTCAAAATCTCCTTTTGCACTTTACTAAATGCGCTAAAGTAGAGTAATTCTCTTTCAATTAACCTACCTCATCAAATTTTCGAACCAAGCAATCGTAATCAAAGTCGATCATCTTCAAATATTGTATGCTTCTCGATAAACATAAAAAGTGATGAGCATTTACCACCCGCATCTGAAAAAATGAAGTCGTATGAAAGAGAAAAATTATAGACAAAAAAAGCAAAAAAAGAAATCATATTTTGCTTCTGGACTACCTTTTCAAACAAGAGCAACAGATTTGACTAAGAGTTGAAAAATCAAACACTTAACTGCTTGGAAGCTTTCAATTTTCAAACATTTAGATAATAAAATCTGATTCAAAAAATTCCATGTTCTTTATTTAAACTCACGTCATAGAGGTCCGCAGCCGTCAAAGCAAGTAGCATCAACCCGTCGATCATATTTTCACAGAAAATATCCTTGTACTGTGGAAGGCCAATGTCTTCGAGCCACTTCTGCGTCTAAAATAAAAAATTTCTTAAAATATTGGCAGCCACTGCGCTTCAAATAAACCTGTTGTACATCCCAGTTGCTTGCGGGACTATCAAAATTACCCTCAATTCTTCGTAGAAGAAGGTTTAATCGCTTGCGGTGGAGGGGTGCTTTCATTCCAAGAATCTAAATATTATTAAGCATCATTTCAGTTTCAGGAATTAGAAGGTATTTCCAAGAAAATAAGGTTTTAACTAAGCAATTATCCAAGCGCCAAGTCGTACAAAACATTCGCTGCCAAGAACTTTCACGCTAAAGTTTCGCCCACTACCGTACTTCCACCCGCCAAACGGTCCAGTCATCGTTGCATACGGTACTGGGCGAGAGTTTGAATGTGTATCTCTTGGTCTTGGATGGAGCATGCGAGCTGCCGCTTCGTGGATGTTTGATTGAAACAACCTTTAGGTTCCCAAATTTGTCTGGACATCCCCATTAATTATATACTTACCGTCTCAAACTCGTGGTTGTTCATATTGAGCAAATGTCGCCCGGATCGAACATTTTTTGCAACTTCGGGTACGTACTGGGCAAAACCGACTTCACCCATCCATTCAGCTAACTGCTCGGATGTCCAATCAACGAAATGCGAAAGTGTTGGAAAAAGTTCGACGCCGCCTGATAGAGGACCAGGTATCCGAGGAATGGAAGATGAAGAGCTGAATTCAAAAAATGCATTCACTCCGATAGCACACTCTCTGAGCAAGAAAAAATTACCGTGCAGATGATCCTTTTCCAAGCAAAAGTCCCCCTCGATCGTGTGATGTGCTCCGCTTTAGCTTGCTGAACAAATTTCTCAAAGAAGACCTGGTCCTATCTCTTTTCAAGGGTTTTTCATCCACATTATGCCGGGAAGATGCTGGAGTGCTTCTCATAACCCCTCTAGCTACCTCGTCATCGGATTCAACTGAAAAAAGAGGTTACTGTATAGAACGAGGAGAAGCGTACTGTAGGGGTATAAAAGTCCCCCCTACCAGCTGACGTTCCCGTTGTGAGCGAATATTTCTTTGTCGGAAGAGCTAACGTAGACGATGCCTAAAATTACAAAGAGATGTGAAGGAGGGGGGGGGGGAAGAGATCAAAAAACCTCAAAAAACCTTACGGACCTTGTTTCCCATCCCACGCGGCAAACTAGTAGAAGAATATGATGGATTTCGATGGCTCTCAGTACTTATCCGCCGTAACTCGTCCAACTCAGCGGCCAGCTGACGAGCAGCGGGAGAAGATGGAGAGCGATAGCTGAAACTGTAAAAAGAGAAAAATTGACAGAATTTTATCATTATTGAGAATTAATACTTCTGTTCGCTTCGAGTTCCAGCAACACCAGCAGGGTATAAACGATTACCACCTTGTGACCAACTGTGATATGAAGAGGCATTTGAAAGTGATGAAGTGAAAGAGGAGGATGGCTGAAAATGAAAAAAATTTTGCGGAATTCTTCTGCGAAAATATTTACCTGTACCGCTTGTCTCTGATAGGACGATGAGCATAGCCGCAAGGGATAAGATGTGGAATGAGTCATTGGTTCTGCTGGTTCCTCCTAGAGTAGTTACAGTGAATAAAAAATATATATTGAATAAAAATTCACATAAATAAGAAAAATTGAACACAAAGTTAATAAGGTATTGAGAAAAATTTTAGGATCACCGGTAAAATTTATTTTCAAAAAATTTAGGAAATAAGGAACGACCTCAAAACTCAGATGAAAATATGAAAAGTAGATAGATTCAAATTTTATTGGGAAAAAAAAATTCAAAAAATTTGGCTGTCACTTGTGTTTACATTTAGAAAAAGAAAAAAATTTTTTTTACGGACAAAAATTCAGGTCCGAAAAAGATGGAAAATGGGAATGACGAAATGATGTAAAATGATTAAAATTGCAAATAAAACAAATAATTCCAAATATTATGGACATCGATGCTTAGAGAAAATCTCATGTGTTTGAACGTTACGTAATAATACAAAAAGGACAGTTCATTTCTTGAAGACGCAAATTGTTTTTCGTCATTTTTCCCAAATAATAGTTTTTGAAGAAATTGCATGTATATTCCCCGTTTCAAGCAAATGCCAAAAGGTCCAAATCAGATGTCTCAGTGATTTGTATAGCATTTCGGCCGAATTTGGTAACTTTCATTAGCGTAGGGGAACCTAAAAACTCAAGTTTTACTCAAGCGCTTGTAGATAATCAACAACTTGAAAAAAATTTTTACGATTAAAAATCCAGGTACGAAAAGTATTACAAAGGTGAGAGTAATGAAATAATGTAGCTTGATTTAAACTGCAAACAAAATTACCAATAATTTAGAATATTGAGGGCGTTGATGCTTGCAGGAAAATTATGTTGAACATCACATAGCAATATAACCAAATTTGACAATATACACTTCATTACTTAAAAACGCGAAAAAAATAATTTCATAATTTTTTTAAGCACTAGATCCTGAAGAACTTGCATGGATGTTTCCCGTTTTAAGCAAACGTCAAAAGTCAATCAGTAAAGTCCATTCGGTTTTTTTTTTCTTTGACTACCATTCATCCCAAAAGGTGCATACAGAGGGGAGAAAGGATTTTGAGATGAATAAGAGGTGCCCAATCAACCAATAGCGAAACTAATTCACCAATAGCAACCGCCGTATCTGTGTATTCAAATCGTAAGTTGGTTGTTCGTTCCATCGAGATACCGAATAGAAATCATCTTGCTGAGACTAAAGTAGCTTTCATTTGAGAGGGTTTCCGTCCAAATTTAATGCTTGTGTGCCTACCCTGGATCGAAGCTGTTCGTCTAGTGCATTGCGAAGGCTGTTGATTTGATGGCTCTTCTCCTCATTGTCGGCCATAAGACGCTGAACGGCATTTCGTAATTGCTCCATTTCCTCATCTGAAAGAACGCATGTCAGCAACTGTACACAAGAATTTGAGACGTTACTTTTGAGACAAAATTTCGGGCGAAAAATAAAATTGGAAAGGTAGAAAAGGCTGCACGAAATAACAACAAACAGCGCGGCTGAAATGGATTTTGATTACTTTGATCACATCGAAACAAATTTTTTTCAAACATCCATGTACCCTCCAAATAAGACATTTCAAAATAAGGAGAAATTTTTGCAAAACATGATTGATAATCCTTTTGAAGGCAAAATTAGGCTATTTGAATTTCAAATGAATTACCGCTTCGTTACGCAAAAAGAAAGCAGGTTTCTTCAGAATGTTTCTTCCGAGCACTACTAAATTATTTTTTACTATAATTATAAGTCAAATTCTCATTTACTTGATACGGTAAAGGAAATCGGATACGATGAGCACAACTCATCCCATAAATGGATTTGACAAACAAAAATTGACATTTTAAGAGAAAAAACCATTGAAGCTATCGTTGAAAAAGTGTTAGTGAAAAACTTCCGGCAGCTGATGGATTTTGACAGGAGTTTTGAAATACGATATGATTCAAAACAGCAACATGCTAAAGGTCAGAGATTCGAGAACACTATTCCATGAAGTACCGTTTTGTAGTTAAAGAGATAATATTCATCAAAAATCCAGCGTGCAGGCGTGACCAGGGCACGGCACAGATGGTTTGCGATCAAACAGAACTTCGTTTTTGGAAAGCAAAGGGGGGGGGGGGTATCGTAAAACCTGCTAAACGTACATATAAGTGACTTTCAAATATGCTAACCATCAGAGTGGTACATGAATGACATGCTCCAACGTGTTCTTTATAACCAAGCGCGCCAAATTCAAAATGATGCTCAAATAAACAAATGCTTTGTTTACAGCGCACAAGCAATCACATGACACCGAATTTGGGCTATGTGTATACAATATTATTACAAACTACATTATGTAAAAAAAATTTCAAAGATTTATGTGTGTTGTTATTGTTGCTTCAACTGGGTTGGTTTGGAGCATAAATAATAGAGGGTTCACATAAGTTTCGGATCTTTCAATTCGGACGACTAGAACGCTCAAAAATCTATCATATGGTGAAGAGAGCGACCTAAACCATTACCTCTCCTCTCTTTTTTGAGCCGAAAATAGTATAGATAAACTCATTGCTAGATATGGCGCTCCAATCACATGCCTGCCAAAGCGTCCTTCAAAGTGGAAACAATTGTTATTGTTCTTGTTGTTATTGTTGCTTCAAATTGTTGCTGTTTTATTACTAGTTTTACGTCAGTGGGGACTTCGTAAAACTTTGCGGAATCATCGGGAGAAGCAGCAGTTTCAACGCATGCCGGACCCTGGGCGTGACTTATAGATGTCATGAAACAGGAAACTCTCAAATTTCAAAAGAGGCGTTTTAATTTATCTGTATTCTTAAAAAATAGCGATTTTTTTCTAATTTCAAAGAAATCGCTTTATGCAATATAGCTAAAGGAAACATCTTGCACTTTCTAAATTTTGTAAGCAAAATCAATGCTGATAAAGAGATACATGACTTATACAAACAGTGAAATCGTACTTCTCCAATCTGGTCGCTAAAAATGAGAGAAAAATAAAAAGAATTTTACTTTTGACTCTACAAAGATTTATAATTCTCGTTTTCAGCCGACCCTTTGATTTTTAAGAAGATCATATAATATAAAGTATTATAAAACTTCAACACAAATATTATATCAACATTCTTTGGTGCAAGACACTCAACGATTATAATAGACATTTATAGTTTACGCTATTAGTTGATGGTGCCATATATTGTAAAATATAATTTGGCAAGTAAATCTTTAAATCTTGAATTCTTTATTATATCACTGGAATATCGAACCAGCTATGTACCACATGAACAAAAGATTCGAAAAAAAAAGCAACCCACTTTGTTTTGCTCCTTGACTTTCTTTTAGTGATGGCATAGGTGTGGGTCGATCAGCACCAGCATTTGCCTGTGATCGCAATTGTTTCTGAATGAACATGCCATGCATAGATTGATTCACGTGGTCAATCTCATTCTGAATAAATTTTTCTAAGAAAAAAATTTGCAAAAAAAAAACAAAATTAACAGACCTGTGACATTTTCAGTTTTTTCTCGGTTTCATTCTTTTGCTGCTCTAACGTGGCAAAACGTAATTTCAAGCTCGACACCTCCTCCATTAGGTTCAGTTTTTTCGATTCCAACTCCGAACAATCGCCAACGTAATGGTACTTCTGAAAAAAAAATTTTTTTGCCATTTTCTCGGGCAAATTGCCAGTGGGACCAACTTCTTGGAGAAGTTCCTCGGTGGAATTCAAGCTGTTTCGTTTTAACGTTAGAAGTGCTTCCAAATCGCGTATCTTCTCTTTTTGGGCACCGACTTGCTCGTTAAGGACAGAAACCTGGAAAATGAACATTTTGTGTATGAATAAATTAGTGATGATACATCGAAGTAAACGCGTCACTTGTCAAAAAAAAATTTTGTTGATAATTTCCATACCATCACTCTGATGTAGAAGGAAGCAAAATTTATTTCTTCTGCCAAAAATTTGCTTTATTTCTAAAAATAATCCTCAATAAATTGTCTGCTTTGCTTTCCATAGCTCACTGTCCGAATTCATTGGTTTAAAAAAGTTGCTCTAATTCTCAGAAAATTTTAGCTGTAAGGAACTTGAGTGAAATCTGTTTTCACTGTTTCTTGATGGATTTTTCCAACTCAATAATTTTTTTGATTAATTTTTTTGAACTCACACTATCGATTCCAGGAAGATAAAAAAAAATAATCACATTCATTTGATAGAAATCCCTCCCCCCCCCAAAAAAAGCTGTTCTTTCACCTTATAGCAACGAAAATTTCGGAAGGACAGCCTTGCTAGCCAATCCAGCTATACTTACTAACTTTTGCAAAAATTAAGTGCTTGTTGATTTTTGCTTGTAAAGAGAACGCAGAAAAGAAAGAGCCTGCGAAGAGAGGAGAAAAGCTCACAAGAGAAAAAGTGGCGTTCAGATCGATAATAAAAAAGAATGTTTTTGCGCAAACTGCGTTCGTATAAGTTTTTTTTCACAAAAATAGTGATTGATAGTTGAAGTTTCAGAAGAGTGAAGGCAAATGAAGCTCTGGTAAAAATTTCATATTTCTAGAAAAATAAAACAATTATCAAGCGATAATATCAAGGCAACAATCAACACTTGCAATCAGGTGTCTTAAAGTATTCGCTCAGCAGTGTAATCAGTGAGGTTCTGGATGTCAATCTGTGCTTTGTTTTAGAGCTCGGCTAGATTCCATCTGTTAAACAAGAAGTGATCCCTACACACATAAAAGAGTGAGTACCTGCAATGAAAGGCTGTCTCGAGCCATTGCAAGTCGATGAAGTCTTTCTTGAAGTTCTGGATATTCAGGGCATGACACTGTTGACATCGAAGGTGATGGACTCTACAAAATCGCAAAATTGCACTTGAATATTGCATGAAAAAATCAAAATTTTCAAAAATTGGGTTTATCCTACCGTCAGTCAAACTCTTATTTTTAATTAATGCTAAGATGTCCATGCTTTTAATCAAGATCATCAGTTTATGGTTAGATTATACAGCAAAGCAAACCAATAATAAGGTTACTTAAGTTTTGTTAGACTTTCTTCGTCCTCCTCCCTTATTTTCTGAAAATTTGTCACTCTTTTTTTTCATCTTTTTAGATTTTTTCATGGATTTTCGTGAGCACCAGTTTTAATACGAAGGCAGCTTAAAAGTTTAATTTTTTCAATAAAGCAAGTTGGAACACCAAAAATCGAAAAAAATTCAGAAATTGGATCTATTCATGTTTGACATGTATATATAGGGTCACAACTCTGAAACGAAAAATTTTTTTCTGAGAAAGTATAAAGATTTTTATCGTTGAGTGTAATAAAATCCGAGTAACCACGTAAAATTTCAAGAATTTTTGCGATTGGCTCACCTTCGATTTTGAATTGCGTGAAGCCATTGCAACATAGTCAGAATCGCACTCAGCTCATCTACTCAAACATAGATTCCGTAGCTATTTATTTCGTCGAATTGATGAGGAAATAATGTGATCGAATTAAGGCCACAAAGGAATGTTTCTTGAAAAAATAACGTAGGATTTTGCATCATCCGAGCACTGGCGAAGTGAAAGGTTGTAGAGAATCGAAAACAACAAGCCGGCGCCAGGATACATCGGCACAACTTCATTAGGCTATTACGTGAACCACGGCACGCTTAAAAGCACTTTAGGGAAAAGATGACTAAACTAAAGATGTTATGCATGTTTGCCCAATATAGTACAGTATCGCCGTTGTCGTTTGCATTGAAGACGGAATTTCACGTGTTGCGACGGAAAAACCCGTCTTTTAGAAACACATCGCCGTAATTTTCCTCAAAATGGGCATTTTCGGTTTGGGAAGAATATTGAAAGATTTAGCAAGATTTGGCACTTTCTCTATATTTCGCCACAGTATTGTCTCAAGATACGGCAAGTATCGGTCGTAAGAATGAGTATTCTCTATTTTAAAAGAAAAATTAACAAAACCACGCGATTTTGTTGATGTATCGCACCATAATGTGCCGGAATACGGTTGGTATACGGCAGGGGTGCGATAGGTATGTGTTTTTACAACCACTTAGCTGCAACTTCTGTCAGAGTGCCTGTTTCAAACAGCAAAAAAATTGAACAAAATAAGACAATTTTTCTATCAAATGCATCACACGGATGTGGTAAGACCAAGGTAGATTTACGGTAGAGGTACGGTAGCTTCATTTACAATTACATCGCTGCAGATTCCGTAGCAAGGGTACTTTCGACCACAATAAAGCATCAAAATTAGGCAACTCTTGGGAAGCATAGTGCCTTTCAATGCGCCAGGATACGGTAGTTTTACGATAGGGGTACGATAGGTGTACGGTAGAGGAATGATTGTTACATATAACAATCTAATATATGAAGAATCGTAACGCCGATTCAAAAATCATCAAATAGCGGGAAACCCCGCGGGTCCTGCAGCGAACGCTCTTGCAAACCAGCACTTTTAGATGACTTGGTTCATAGTCAACAGTTAATTTCGAACTGCACAAGATTTTTGTAACATTTCGAATAAATAATATTCACTCTAAAAATGTAAAAACAAACACTGTGAAATTTTGCCTTTCTTTGCAGTAACCACGGACGATACTTCAAAATTCCTATCTTCCTTGACCCAATTAAACTCCAGCCAAGATGTTATCCGTGTCCAGGTACGAAAAAGCTTGGAATTTACATATATCACGATATCCTCTCATCGCACAGCTGTCCGCCACAATACCCGAAAGCGATGGGGGCCTAGTGTAAACTGAACAATCAACGAAGATTACAACCTTCAAACTCCTACCAAAAGTAGGTTTGTTAGAATGACACACACGCAAACCACAAACACACGCAAACAGGGATGAGGATAAGTGAGAAACAGGCCCAAATACGGCTATTTTTGGTGAGATTAATGCGCTCACCAAACTGCACTGACTATTCCATCGGGCACCATGCTTTGCACGTTGAACAGCCGCATAAGGTGGAATAGTCGATTGTTGGGTTGAATACTTCGAATCGCTTGAACTTCGATGAATTTTATGCTGTTTGCTACGCATACGATATGGTGGCGGTGGTGGTAGATAAGAGCAGGATGAACCGGCTGATAAAGCCGAATCGAAGCCAGAATCTGAGTACTGCGTCACGTACGGTAGCAGAACTCGTTGAGACCTTGGAAAGATTTGGGTTTAAAGAAAATCCTTCAGGAAAAACTCATATTTTTTTCTAGCCTAAATGGGCCTATAATGAATACAAGAAATGCGACATAGTCCATTAGCTACAGAAATACCCTACCTCCCCCCCCCCCCCTCCCAAAAAAAGAGCAAAAAAAACAGACGTGTAGACTACGATGTGTCGATAGTCATCACTAAACTCGTTAAAGGCGGTGAGGTGCGTTTTGGGTGGCCCCCCGACGACGGGGAAATACGAAATGCTAATGAATCTATGGATGACACAAATGCTAAAATGCTCGAGAATGTTGGGGGGGGGGGGTGAAAAATCGACAGATGAATTTCTGAGAATAATTTTGAGTAATTTATGGGCTTATCAACGAGCAAAATACACTGTAAGTGTGAAACTAATGCGAATTGTGTACCTGTTTATTTTGAATGAATCTCGAAATGCATTTCCACTTCCACCGCTATTCCGGAAATAGACGGCTTGATCATTAGCAAATACCTCGTTTTGACTATTGCTGCAGCTGCCGGAGAGCGAGAAATGCTCGTGAAAATCGCTAGCAAATGATGAGGACTTCATCGGCTTGAGTACATTTCGATTCTATTCGGATGAAGCCGGGGGGGGGGGGGGGAATAGCCGACACGACAGACTCCTCAGTAGTTAAAAGAATGGTCTTCACAGGGGCCAGACGAGGAGCAGGAATGGGGCAAAAATTCGAGGGGGGGGGGTCGTGGAAGAAGAGCTAAGTGTGAATGTGCTGTTGTATATTCGGGGCCCAAGGCGTGCGCTTTGCTTGCAGTGGAGCAGCAACTGTCCTGACGCTCGTTTCTCTTCCTCACATGCTGTCACACCTTCGCCTCAGAGAGTTGTTCAATCATTCAACCCAGATATTAGATATTTAACATTATTCATTCCAGTCAGGACCCGCAAACAACAACAAGTCCCCATGCTAGGCAATAGTGAGCAGTGTAGAAAAAAGGCGGGAAAAACCGGTATAAAACAAAAAAGCAGCTACCAACATACATTTTATGGCAAAGGAGCGGGCAAAAACGGGGCACGCTGCCAGCTCATGCTAATTATGTTAGTATTGGGGGCCCACGCCTCCCCGAAACCCGACTGTGTTATTATAGGAAATGCTCAGTTTAGAGTATGGCGCAAAAAAGCTAGACATCATCTTTCAACGCTGATTTTCCCCCAAATCTCTACTCTTAAATGTGATGTGTGAAATCCACAAAATGAAGTCCTAGAGGAAAATAGCAAAGCGAGAGAATGGGATATCCGGGCTTAGGCCCATAAACAGAAGAGAGGCGGGTAGAGGGAGAGAGCTAGTCGGGTGCAGAGCATTACAGCGCCTCCAGGGATGGCCAGACAGAACGAAACATTGGACGCTCTGCTCTTAGCATGTAATGTACTTAATTACTTAATTCTAACCTGATCTAATTGAGTAATTCGTGAGTTGAAAAGATTGCTTTGAACCGAGCTGAGCAGCACTCAGTTTGGACGAGTTGGACGAGTTTTCTCACGCACATCTGCTAGTATCTGCGTTCCACAAACAAAACTCTTCTTTATGGTTCCATTCTCACGCGTCCTTTCTTCATCTCCCGCAAAACTTCAAAAATTTCTCAAGCAAAAGTATGTGTATGTCCAGCTGGTGTCCAACTCGCAAAGAGCCGATTGTGTTTTCGCCTAGTCGAATTCCTCGAGAGAAGCAAGCAAGCAGCGGGGTTTTTTTGATTCATGGTCCATCAAGACACCTGTTGTTTCGGCAGCCCCGAATTCCAATCGTTCCTCAGCTGCTGAATTCGTTGTTTTGTAACTCCTCCTGGTGCCTCGGCTTGAAGACAGGCGCTCCCCCTGTGTGCTCGGATCTCCCCTCCATTACACTTTGTGTGTGTCGAATGTATGTATGAGCGACAAGACCGGGGGGGGGGGGCTGTACGAAACGCAGAAACTAGGGTTGCGACACAGCGGGTTTCGGCTTTCTTTGACTTGCGACACTTTTTTGCAAGACCACACAATTAGATGTTAGTGTTAGCACTTAGAGAAAAAAATCCACAAAAAGTAGAAAATTTGCTTTTGGAAAAAAACGCATGCACACTCTCCACTCATTTAAATTGAACTAATTGCCTTTATGCGCGGAAACCTCTTCTAAGTAGATCAAATTAAACTCACAGTACGCCCAGTTAGCCATTGCATTATTTTTAGCTGTGTCTCCAAATCCGGTCGCTCCGTAATTGCGTGCTCTTCGATAGCCTAAACATCAGTTTAAAATAAAAAAAAGGATTTTCTCGTAGATTTTAGCTTAGAAATTGTTGAGTAGGAGGCTCTTACTTGGAAAAATTTGATGTATAAAAATGAATAAATTAGAGCAAAATGAAAGAAAAGAAAAGAGAACGAAATAAAATAGCATTGTAAACGTTTTAACAATATAGTTCGTAACACGACTAAGACAACTTTTCACCATGCAAATCCGCACTTACATTTATTTATTTGATTTTTGTTTTTGTTGAAAATGTCGAAAACCTTTACTGCTTTCGTTTCTTTCCTAACGGAGTTTTGTTTTCACTTCTAGGTCTTCAAAATTTGAAGAAAATCTTTTCAGCGATATGATCTCCTGGGTCCATTTGTACTATCAAAGTACTTGTAAACCTATAGAGGCAGTGGATGAATCCCTCGCTGGATTACGGTATTACGACAATTAAAGGGCGATAATGGACTGGATTGATTATTTTGGAAGAAAAAAAGTCTCGTTGTTGCAACTAATGAGTCATAATCAATCAACAATGAACAACTGAATTTCGATTACATTACTTCGGAAAATTTAAAGGTCTCTACGACATAATGATGGTATTATAGCATCTAGTCAAGGTTTTGATGACAGTAATTATGCACAAAGACCTAGATCATATAACAATTGCCCAGATGTGGAAGATGTCCAAAGAGTAAACAAATGACGAGGAGGACAAGACAATGCTTAGACAGAATAGCGACATTGATGACAGATGGGATTAATAGCCACATGTGTTTTGGAAAAGAACTGTTTGCTTTTTATTGGGTTTAAGGTCAAGTCTTGAGAAAAAATATATGGTTGATGGATTAGTCTTTCACCAAAAAATATAAAAAAATTCTTTTAAGGATATTTGAGTAGTTCTTTTGAGGTATCTAATTCAATCCTTGTAACATATATTAAAAGTTGTATCTTACTACAAGTATTTGAATTTTTTTTCGACATGAAAGCAAAAAGTTGGATAAGAAAACGAAATCATAATCCGCAGACACGTACTATCAACAGTATTTTTTTTTTGAAAGAAGAAGCGCGCCATAAAACTAAAAGCAAAACTAAAATGAGAATTTAAATGTTTTAGTGAATTTAACTAGCAAAACATAAAAATTTTGGATGTTTCTCTTTATCGGCTTGGGCACTGCTTTCGACGATAATAATTTCTAAAGTGATTTTGAAAAGAGCGAACTTTCCTCAAACTGAAATGCACTTAAGTAAAATATTTTATAGCAACCGAAAGATATGAATTTTCCAAATTTTTGGTGCAAGATTCATAACAGATTTATATTTACCTTCACAAAATCGCTATAGATTTTAGGTGGATTATACAGCGATGAGGATGAAGTAGGAATGTCCGAAGGTGGCGATTCTACACCTGAAGAGCCGTCAGAGCCTGAAATTCGATTCCTGGACATTGGGGCTAATTTATCGAAAAAAATCTATATAGTAAATGCCTGAACGTGCCAGTTTGATCTCGCCAATCCTTACTGCTCCAGTCGCTAGCTTTTGTTGAACGGTCGTCATCAGCATCGTGGGCTTGCGTATTTTCCAAATCTAGCCCTAGAAGGACAACAAGGACAATTCCACAGCACCTTCTGTACTCATTTACTCGAAAATCCGGAGAGCTCAGCTGTCAAGTACCTTCATCAATATCTCGCATAGCCTTGGCTGGCGTCACCACTGCTTTACCGGATTGGGACGTGCTGCTGCCAGTCGTTTTGCTGCCTTAAAATTTAAATTTGGACAAAAAAATCATAAACGATGGCAATGAGGAAGAGCGAAGGGGGATGAAAGCAGCTGGCATTGGCAAAGAGAGTTCAATTTCAATGCATAACCGATATTGCGAATGCACATAAATGGGGCCAGATGTGGCGCTAGCATGGTAGAGGCTGAGAAATTATCATTTCTCGGGGTATTTTTTCGAAAAAAATGGGAAATATGATACATTTTTGAAGGCTAGGATGTGCTGGCATTCTTTGTCAAAAGCTCTGATGGCCTATTCCTTCCGGTAGAGCGCGAAATGTGAGAGCTCCGAGGCTCCAAGACCAGCCACGATGCTGCGCCTATCAAATGCTCTCTTCACAGCCATTAACTGGCTATGAAGAACGACGATTCCAGAGTGGAATAGTTAGGCATAGAGGGTGAGAATATAATCGAATTGCCTGTCCTGTCTCTCTTCCACTCTGCACAAGCCTGTTCGAGCCGGTCGCCACGCATTTTAGGGCCCCCCATTCTGCCCATCCCCCCCCCTCCCGTCCATACATACCATCACACACATACACATACACACACCATGACGCACTGTAGCGATTGATCGACAGCGGCATTTTCTCGGCAATTCTTCGGAATATCGGCGGAAATGCCGATGGATGATGTGAGGGCATCGATGCGGAGAAGCGCTTGGATGGAGATAATGTGCGAGCCGAATCAAATTCTATAGAACGTGGGTCAAAAGCGGAAAATCAGCGAAAAAACAGCATTACATTCAATCGCGGTCAAGGCGAGCCGGGGTTTTGGAGGGGGGGGGGAGGCGGCAAGGTTAAATTTACTTGTGTTTTTTTATTGATTTATGTACGCTCAAAGGCGAAGTCAGAAAGGCGAAAATTAACTACAATTAAAGAGCAGAGAAAGAAAAAGAGCTTCTAAGTGGAAAGCTACTGTGTGGTTTCCTTTGATTATCTAGGTCCGGCAAAATGGCGCCGAACTTTCAGCTCCCAACGGAGAATGAAAAAATCTTGAAAAATTATTGATTGATCCAAGAAAGCAATGATTATTTTTAAAGCGAACAACAAGAAAGAGCTCTGCATATTCCTCTGTACTCCGATAATCAGATCTAGCAAAAAAAGGCACAGAAGCCTGTGATGTGCTACAAGTCGAAAAAACTAGATAAATTATTTTATTTCATACCAAGAAATTAATGGATATTTTTAATGTAAAAAACGACACAAACAGTGATCGACCACGAGCGCATGAGCTAAAGAAACAGGAAAAAATTTTTGCTGTACTGACAGTTATAGTTTATAGGAAAGCAATACATATTTTGAAGAGCCGCAATAGCAAAAATTGAATATTTTTTAGGCTAACACAATTGTTCAAGTCAAGCGAAAATGAAAGAGGTATCAAGCAAAAATCAGGAAATTCGTCGTGACATGACTGTACGGAGAATAAAACACATTTTTCAGAAGTACGATCAAAAAAAAGAGCACGGGCACTGTTTTTGCCGAGCGCAAAAAAGACTATCCATCAAGTGTTGTTTAGTATGATCGCAATGATGTTTACCACCATCACAACCATAGCCATTATCTCTTCACCCCTCCCCTTTTTCCTAGTCCCCAAAAAATATCTGCCCGGCGCCAATAAGAGGGTTATAAATGAGGTGTAAGCCGGATTTCGTATGTATACGATGACAGGCTCTCTCTCTCTCCGAAACGGCAAAACAGCACGGCTATTAGCCGTAAATGAGAGCGAACCAAAACATAAGAAAGTAAACGATTTGTCACAATGGATTGATGTCTCATCGGTGCCGATACGGGGCTGCTTTTCGGGAATCGAAATCGAGAAGACAAAGCGAGCCGAATAGCATTTGGAAGAAGTCGCGATGTGTGTGAGTGTATTCATAAAAACCGCATCGAACACAGAACAACGATGTTCGCATCGCAAACACGTGCCAAAACGTGACAGATCCGAGAATTTTAGTGAACAAACGAGTTTTTTTCGGGTACACTTAGTGAATGGAGCGAAGTACTGATGAGTGCGGGGAGAAAGTATTTAGAGAAGAAAGAACTACAAAACACTCTCGTTTGCCCCCTTTCCCCTACGAAATATGATAGGTGTGAGGGATCCCAGCAAGAAAAGAATGCCAAACATACCATTTATGATGAGGTCATCAAGCTGTTCGAGTGCTGAGCTCAGCAGCAAATTCGCCTCGGCGAACCCATCCATAGTGAAGGCCGGCAGCTGCACCAACAGTGCAACCCTCGACGAATTCTGAAATTGAGAATTTGTGAACACTAGAAGATTTATGGGCAAAGAGCTGAAGCCGATGAACAGATTGTAATTGCGTTAGATTCACAAAAACGTGGGGTAGATCGAAATCCAGTTGAATAGAAGCTTTGCTGAAATATCATCGGAAGTATAAGGAAATAACATCGTTTCTATCAGGAAATATCATCGGAAATGTCTTCAGATTAGTTTCTAACAAATGTAGGGAAAATTACAATACCGCTCGTCTTTTTTGAAAAAACGACGCAAAGTCGTCTGCTTCATGTGACATCATCGTAGCGCATATCTCACTTCAGAGTGGACCAAATCTTGATCCAAGGGCACCATTCGATTCAGCTAAGCGCTACGCATCTTTCCATGTATTAAAGTGACCGCTTGGACACAATAAGAAGCCAGATTTCATGAATCATTCCAGATTGTTGCTTACGGTAGGTTGCCCAAGTGCAATGAATAAGCACACTGAGTAACCCTCCGTAAGCAAAAATCTGGAATGATTGGCAGAATCTGGCCTCCTACTGTGTCCAATTGGGCACTATATCGGAAAAAGCGCCCTCGCCAAGCTGAGTCGAATGGTGCCCTTGAATCAAGAATTCGTCCTCTCTGAAGCGAGATATGGCCACGCTGCGGTGATGTCGCATGAATCAGGCAACTTTGCGTCGTTTTTTCAGAAAATGCGTGGTATTTCAGGTTATAGTTATATGAATAAATTTTGATTTGTGTGGTTTGTGCAGAACAATTGGAAGACATTTTGCAAAGTAATCAAACTTTTAATCAAATGAGAATCACTGGTCAAAAATCACGCCTTTCAAGGTTGTGATCCACAAAAAATAAATTTTTAGGTTGGAATTTAAGCATTAGAGATTCTGAAAATTGTACATGTCCAGAAAACCAACCACCTTGCGTATTTTCTCTGCAATTGATTTATATAGCATTTTGTTATGATCAGAAAACTAGAATAATACTAGAATATACTACTAGACTACCCACTAGAATAATCATTCTGAAAAAATTGTACATCGAAACAGTATTGGAAATTACAACCTTTGTAGAGACGTCCGATTAGCAGGAGGTTATGGAAAATAGAGTGCTATGTAGGTTAGTGTTAGGTCATGACATTTAAGTCAAATCAACTATGGAATTTGTTGGATCTTCTTTTCGAGCGAGAGAACTTGGCAGAGGAAACAAATATTCACTACTTTGACGAACAAACATGACATATTCAATTCTGACCATTCTTACTGTCGAGAACTTTAGCAACTATCAATGACTCTGGGTCCAAGACTTTAGTCAATCCATTTCTAATAATTTATGGGTGTTTCCGAGCGTTAAGAAGTACTCAGCACAAAACTTTTGTAATTCAGCATTGATTCTTAGAAAGCAAGAAGGTTCAAATCACTGAATAGTTTCTGCACACAGAAGAATCCAAACCTGAATCCGCTAACATGGAAATGCAGTAACTGACCAGAAATCAGCAAATGTGGCTGTGTCATATGAGACAATTGCGATTTTTATGTTAGCATGGTTGCTTTGTGTTAGAATGTACATAAAACCTTTATTCAGTAAATAATTGAATTGATGATGAATCAATTGTAGACTTGAAAGAGCACATAAAAATCTGGAAAATGGAGCGAACGTATTTGCGACTTCTATGCGCAACTTTCTTCTACGAATTCAAAAGAAAATTGCTTGAAAATCAAGATTCAGTAAACTAATGTAGTTTTGAAGTAATAACTAAAATTACAGAAGGAAGTTCGGTTTAGGCGCCATTTTATTGATCACTATCAGAGTGGTCCATACTCAGACAAATCACCGGAACTTCCGCAGAGCGTTTGCGGAAGTTCCGCCGGGTCACCTGCGGAAGTACCGTAAACGTGCTGCGGAAGTTCCGAAATGAGGTCCTGCGGAAGTTCCGAAGAATGCCAACCACAACAGCAAAAGAGAACACCGAAGTGAGATTTGAACCTCACTCTATTGACTGTGAGACCCACCCACTATCCTCTACGCTACGACTGACATGTTCGATGATGAACTCTGGTGTTGGCGAGGCCACATCACGAGACAACACATTCAAAGTCCTGCGGAAGTTCTGGCAGGCCAAAGTTCTGCGGAACCTCTGGCATTTTTCGGAATTTCCACGGGATTTTGAAGAAGGTCCTGCGGAAGTTCCGGTTTTCAACTAGTTTGACATGAACATCCCGCGGAAGTTCCGATTTTCAACGTTTTCATTTTTGCAATAGTGAACAAAATCCTGCGGAACTTCCGCAAATTTGGCTTGTCCTGCGGAAGTTCCGGTGATTTGTCTGAGTAAGCCTCGTACCTAATCTTTTGACGGGATTGCCTCAAAATAAATATCAAAAAGAATTCAGATTCTTTCACAACTATTTCTGATACATGAAAGCTAAAAATTTTATTTAATTGCATATATCAGCAATTTTATTCGAAGCAAAGTCAAAATGTTCAGTTAAACTTATTATCAAAACCGTTCGTGCAAACATCAGATTGGTACGAAATTCTTTGAGTAGAGTACGCTGTGGAACCACAAACTAAAGCAAAATTAAGTGATATGTCACCAATAATTCTTTCTCCAAGCACCTCTAAAATGAGCATTTTTTTTCTTTTTTTACGACATGATTATTTAAGAACCGCTGAAACTAAAAAAGTACGATTTTTTGAAGATTGCAAGATTGAGCCTCATAAGAGCATTTCCGAAATTTGGATGGAGGACTTGATGTGAAGTGCACACGAACTGTCTGAATGACAGAGAGATGGGGGCATGAGGATCCGAGGGCTGGGGGCTGGGGGGTGGTATAGGGCAAGGCCGAACTGTATTGACCACTTACTAGAGACCGGCTAGGCCCTTCACATAAAGCGCCTGCTCAAACAACTCAACGAGTCACGGAAGCATCGGGGACAACAAGGCCGAGAGCATTGTAAGGGGGGGGGGGGTGATTTTGTACAGAAGGACTTCGATATCCTGCACGGATTTGAGCACTTGAAGCACTTGCAAACAATTGAACTCTGGTGCTTTTGCAGGAGGAGAAAAAACCGAGGTTCCGAGTAGATCCACTAGAGATTACTAGTGCTCGAGATTGTAGATGGAGCTTGACGTCGCCGGGATAGACAAACATCATTGACCCTTGGACAAAGCCGCTGCAGCCATAGTGAACACAACGCCATGAGATTTGGAAGAGCTGACTATGTACCCATTTAAAGTAGTAACATAACGCCCATATTTTTTGAAAAAAGACGTAAAGTTGCCCGATTCATGTGAATTTACAGCAGCGTGGCCATATCTCGCTTCAGAGTGGACCAATTCTTAATCCAAGGACACCATTCGACTCATCTTGGCGCGGCGCATCTTCTGATACATAGAAGTGTCTATTCGGACTCAGTAGGAAGCCAGATTCCACTAAATGTTTCAGATTTTTGCTTACGCAGGATGTCCAGTGAATGTTAGCCACGCTGCGGTGATGTCGCATAGATCGGGCGACTTTGCGTCTTTTTTCAAATGACACGAGCGGTATTGTATCTTTATAGCTATCATCTACTAGAAATCACATTCTAGTACTTTAAATCAATTCTGGTAGTATAAACTAGACTTGTCAAATATTTCTGGCACTATGAGTTGTGCTTGTTTGCACTTTTCTTAGAATTTAAATGTTGTAGGAAAGATCCAGTAGATCCACTGTTGACCTGCCCATCCGGCCCTACATACTTTCATTTCATTTGCTGACGAAAAATGAAGTCACGAAGACTTCGAATATAAAGTACATGTAAATGAGTAAATATTAGTTGGCTAGAAAATAAATTCGGTTGCTTGTGTTCTTAGAGATGTTGCAGACAAATTTCTTGTGCAATCTTATATATAAAGCTGAATGTCTGTTTGTCTGTCTGTCTGTCTGTATGTCTGAATGTACGTATGTTCCGAATAGAAAATTCCATTTCTGAACCGATCGGGACCAAGCTTGGCACACATACACTTCGGGGCAGGGCGGGTGTCATAGGCTACTTTTCGTCATCGATCGATATCGATTTTATCGATTTTTTGCAAAGTTTGAGCTACGGGGCTGGGAGTTGGCACAAGGGGGTAATCGAGCATGCTGATCACCCCCCACGGGGGTGATCAGTATGCTCGATCACACCCCTCTGCCAAATTGCAGCCCCCTAGCTCAAATTTTGCAAAAAATCGATAAAATCGACATCAATCGATAACGAAAAGTAGCCTATGACACCCGCCCTGCCCCGAAGTGTATGTGTGCCAAGTTTGGTCCCTATCTGTTCAGAAATGGAATTTTCTATTCGGAACATACGGCGGAGCCGGGTAAGCCAGCTAGTGTTTAATATCTCTGGAAAGAGCACTTGAGAAGAATGTAAATACTGTTTATGTAAAATTTATATTCCTATGAAAAACAGGGGCAAAAAAGTGAGAAACCACAATTTTCTCATTGTGTGCAAAGGAAAAAGATTGAGGTACTTCGTCTTAAAACTCATAAATGAAAAACAACAAAGAAAATTTTCGTGGAGATTTGCCTGGTGAAACAAACTTAGTTTTTAGCCATTCTAGTAGATAAACGTTTGATTTCGACGCGTTTGAAACGCCAGAAAAGGCTATCTTTCATTATAAGGAAGCATTTACCCGACGACTGTTCGCAGTTGTGAAATTAGTAATTCTAGGCGACAACTAGGGTGATGTAAAAAACTTATTCTTGTTTAGTTTATTCTCACAAGAGCCGTTTTTGAAACATGCAAATGTTGCAAACCGAGTAACAAATGAGTGAGAAAAAGCAGGCGCAACATCCTGATATATATTGCATCTTCTAAATGTTCACATACTCCTGGGTACAATTTTACAGCTTTCATCTATCGTCACGTTTATTGCTTTTCAAGCTAACAGCATTCTAGTACTCAATGTGTTAAGAATTAGCAAAACCTTCGAGTATAACTCAAAACAAACTTTTAGTGATTCCAGCTTTGTCACCATTGACAA